CCCCTACCGCACCATTGCTTGGCTTCCACAGCCTCCTGGTCACACCCAGCTCATTCAAAAGGAATGCTACACGGCTACATAAGCCCTGCCCAATCCTAACACACAACATATTTAGCAGCATCTACTTGTGAAACCCTCCCTGTTATTCCCACTTTCTTCGTAGGTTTTGGCTTCAGTAGTAACTATGTGGTTCTTTATGGATAAGATTTAATCCTATTCTGGATGGCTTATTTTAACTTAATTATTTTTTTAAGGTTTTTAAAATATTTTTAAGGTCTGTGAAACAACGCATATTCATGTGTATGTTATTTTCACAATTACAAGCATGCTCCAGAAAACACACTTCCTTTTAAACAAAGTTTTCAAATATTCAGTATCACTTCCTGTTCTTTAAATTTCCTTCTATGTCCTTTAAAATAATGGATAAGAAAAGCCAGTATACAGATGGAGTTGGCAGCTATGCATTGGCTGAAACTGAGAAACCCCCCAAAAAAGCAGAGCAAGAGATTTTAAAAGCTTGTTCCTGGAATGAAGAGACATTAGAATTCAGTGCTAACAGTGAAAAAAATATTGCTTCTCACAACACAACCTCTTCAGGAGGAATTTCAGCATACAAAAAACCCTGAAGTGGTCTAGCTAATCTCAGATATTAATGGGGAATGCTGGAAATACATCACATCAAAAGTATAGCTAATTTCAGATTAGGTACAGGAACTGCAGAGATACTTCCTAAAGGAAAAGCCAGGAGTATTTCAGTGATGTTTCACATCTATGGCATAGCTAATGCATTACAGCTTTTAAATCAAGTTAAGCCTACTGATGTCACATGAAACCCATTCAAGAGTCATATGAAGTCATGAGAAATTGCTGGTGCTTGAATCTGCTCTCTCTTGTGTAGGTGCAACTGACTCAGACTCATACACCTAAAAAATCAAGTGAGTTCATGCCAATTTGCTAATTTTCTATCCCTAGATACATCTTACTCCAGTTGCAGGCAGCCCTATTTTAGTTTCCATAGGCTTCTACACAGATGCAACAAAGGAAAAAAACTACATTAAAATTACCAGTGATGTCCCTCCAAAACACTCAATTGGACAAGGCAATGTAGATTAAAACCTTTATTCTCTCACTTGTATGTATGTTTACATAATGTTACAACAGGTGGTGGTTAGCACAGATTTTTTCTGAGCTATACAGTACTACACACTAACTAATGTCAATGTAAATCAATAGTAATTAAACTGTAAAGCAATTGGCATATCAGATGAAGATATATTATTGGGGATTTCAGTTCACTGACTATCCTGCTAAATTTAAGCACTTTGGCACAGCAAGGTTATATTTTAAACAATATATGGTTCATATTGTTACTCCTCTGCCCGTACTTAGGTTATCCCATTTTGGTTTTAGAACCATTTTTGGCATGAGTAAAAACTGCCCCACTGCCCTTTCAGCCCGACTCTTGCCTCTTTACTGTTCTTCACTGTAGGTCCCCAAGCAAATGACAAAATCAAAGGCATTTATTTCCAACCACAATCAGCTCAACACTACAATGTGTAATATGACTCCATGAACAATTTAATAGATAAAAGACTAGGGCAATGGCATATTGAAACAACAATCTTCAGATATCAAATGCTGCATGCCTGAAGCAAAAGGCCAACACACACCTGAAACCACCATCAATCAGCTGAGTTAAAGATGAAGCAGATCCACCTTTTCCCAACAAATTCTCGTTCCTGTCTGTGCCCCACTCTCTCCTTCCTAACCTTCCCAGGTTGTGTCCTAACGTTCCCTCTGACAGTCTACATGTGCTTTGGGCCCCTTTGGATAGGGTAGGTTGTATCCTAGCCTTGCCTCTGACAGTGTGGGTGTGCTCTGGGCCCCTCTGGAGTGAGGATTTGCTGCAGTGCTAACTTGCATTTCTGGCACTGATAAGTTTGTTTAGGCAGTGACGTTTGGCATAGCACTCATCTAGCTACCAGGTCAACTGGATAAGTGGAACTTAAACCATCCTGGGTAAAAAGTATAACCTAGACAAAGAAAACCACAATATTTTACAATGTCCAGCTTTCCGAAACACACCCTTCAGGGAGCTCTGCTAAGGGAAAGGAAGGGAGCAGCACAGGGGCAGGAGTGAGGCAGGAAATGCTGCTTCTTTCTGTAAACGTGCCAGCTTATATTTCAGGTTTTGGGATGAAGTTCCAGAGCAGTATGTCTGGATTTAACCAGGAATTGCTACAGTCACAGTAACCAACCCGTTTGCTTGTACCAGCCCTGCAGCTCAGGATTTTGCACAATGAATTCAGCCCGAGGAGCCACCGGGTCACTTTGTCCCAAAGCAGATTAGCTTCCAGCTGGATCACCTTCCTGATCTAGCTCACTGTGACAGTACAGAGGTGCCAATACCTGGACAAAGGACCAAGAGACACTCCAGCTGAAGCCAGGGGAGTATAAAGTGACAACTGGGACAATTGTAACAGCTCCCATCCTCTTGAGCAGCTGTCTTAGTTAAGCTCTCAACTGACTTTAGTCCCTCGATTGTGGCCCATCTTGACCCACAATTTTAAATCCATTTTAACTAAAAGTTAGTTTAGTTAAACTGCCTCTTGATAATAATTATTAAATGTAAAGTATTACAAATACATTAGAGGGCTAACCAGGACACCTCTAATACATAGCTCCACATAAGTTCAAAACTACAGGGCATTATTTTTTAAAATACTGATTAACAGAACAAGCAGGCAAAAGACCTACTTTCTTGTTACATCACAAATCTTTACTTCAAAATATTCTTCTTCTATTATTAAGCATTTAAATTAAAATACAGCTCAGGCAAACAGGCCTCCATGCGACTTCAGGAAGTAATTAACTTGTTTCTCTGAGGCCTGTATATCCCCAAGACACTGACTACCATCATGTGCTTACCAGGGCTGACAACATCAGTATACACAGGAGCACTAGTCACTAATGCTCTAAGCTATCATTCTTTTTTTGGTTGCACATATACTTCTTACATTATTTGGACAAATCAGCAATGGGGATAATGTGCATTGATTTGTGAATATACAGGAGATCCACACATCCTTCACGTCGTTCACCACCTGCCCAGCCAATGCTGAGCTCCCAAACAGCGATTCCCTCCCGGCTGAGCAGCAGTGCTTTGCCCTCCGTGTATCCAACCAGTACCGTGCGGTACAGAGCACGAACAGGAGAATCGCACAGGAAACCACAGGCAGTAAATTTGTGAGGAATAACAAATTCCCAGCCCGCTATATGAATCCACAGTTCCTTAAACACTAATCGATGCCAAACCACCATCCTGCCTGGCGTGTGGTGATACTTGCTCGGAGCCCAGGGCCGAACCGCACTGCACACCTGCGGTGCCAGGTGACCCGGCCCAGCCGAGTGCTCCCCGTACCGAGGGCGCCCCAGCCACGGGAGGGATTTAACCGCGCGGGGCCCGGCCCGCACTCACCTCGCTTGTTCTTGGTGCCGTGCTGCCGGGCTAGCGCCAGCTCCCGCTCGATCCGCGTCTCCAGGTACTCCTGCTTCTTGCTGAGCATCTCCTCCGTCTCCCGCAGCCGGGCCAGCGCCTCCTGCGGCGAGGGACCCCTGCGGCCCTTGGAGCCGGCCGAGCCGCCCCCCTTGAAGAACTTGGAGATTTTGCTCATGGCGGTGATCCCAGCTCGGCACCCGCCGACGGAAAGGTCCGGCCAGGCCGGTGCTCAGGAGCCTTCCTGCGCAGCACACGCCGTGACAGCGCTTCCTCGGCCCACGGGCGGCGGCGGCACCGCACCTGGCGGCGGGGCGGGCCCGGGGGGGCGGGCGCGGGCCCCCCCCCCCCCCGGGGCGGGCCCGGGGGCGGCTCCGCGGAGCTGCCGCTGCCCTCAGCCAGCGCCGGGCAGGGCGGCGGGAGGAGCCGGCGAGCTCCGCGGGACAGCCGCAGGATCCCGGGCCGGACCGGCGCTGCGGAGGCGGCTGAGAGATTGTGCTTCCCCCCTACTTTTTTCCCGTGTCACAGAATGGCAGAATGCACAGTGGGTCATCTGGTCTAACCTCCCTGCTCACGCAGGGTGATCCTAGAGCACATGGCACAAGACTGCATCCAGGCGGCTCAGTATCTCCGGGGAGAGAGACTGCACAACATCTCTGGGCAACCTGTTCGATTGCATGGCCATCCACACAATAAAACTGTTCTTCCTCGTATTCAGGTGGAAATTCCTGTGCATCAGTTTCTGCTGTTGCCTCGTCCTGTTGCTTGGCACCACGCAGAAGAACCTGCCCCAGCCTCTTAGCACCCTCCCAGAAGATGCTTATAGGCATTGGTTATGTCCCCTCCCAGTCGCTTCTTCTCAAGGATGAAGAGGCTCAACTCCCTCAGTCTTTCCTTCGAAGGGAAATAATCAAGTCCCTTGGAAAATGTTGTAGCTCTCTGCTGGATCGTCTCCAGGAGCTCCATGTCTCCTACTGAGGAACCCAGAATTGGAGACATGCCGCAGGAAGGTGTTTCGGGAGAGCATCACCCTCGGGCACAGGCGTGCACACGGGTCAGGGCTGGGAACATGACACTGAAGTCTGAAGGAATGTGTTTTTTTACAAAAGTGGTGGGTGGCGCCGCTGAGGAAACCTCAGTGACACCAACAGGTTGCAGATTGCACGAAGTGCTTCGGAAAGCCGGGCTGCCTCCGCTCTGCCTCCGGGAACAAGGCACTGCCCCAAGGGACGTCGCAAATAGCGACACAATAAGACACAAATCATGCCCTTTTCCGCCTGGAACAGCCCGAGGAGCACCAGCCGCGGCTCTGGGCCCACTGAAGGCTGAGGCTTGGGCCGACTTGGGCTGCTCAGGTTGCCCTGAGCCCGGTGAAGCAGCCCATCCTGCCGGCATCCCCGCAGCTCCGAGCTCGAGGGGCGGGCTCAGGCTCAGGCTCAGCCCTGCGCGGGCGGGTCCCCACCGCCCCCGGCCCCGCCTCGGGCCCGCCCGGCCCGGGGCGGGTCCCGCCGGCCCCTCCGCAGCGCGGCCCCGCCCGCCCCGCCGCCGCTCCGCCTCCTGCGTGCCGCCGCCATGGCGGAGCTGGAGCTGGGGCAGCACTGCGGGGTACCCGAGTGCCGCCAGCTCGGTAAGGGACAGCGCGGCGGTCCCGGCGGAGACGGGGATGGTGGGCCGGGGTCGGTACAGGGTTGCGAGGGGTGTCCCCCCGATCGGGGAATGCTCTGTGCCGCTGCAGCCCTGCTCGGTGCAGTGCCAGTCCCTGTCACCTCGGTTGCCTCACTGGGTGGCTGGGTGGTAAACAGCCCGCTTGCCCCTTCCTCACACTTGGTGCCTTCAGTGATGTCGGAGAGTGTGACTGGAAATGAAACCTCTCAGAAAGAAGCAGTAGAATGGTCTGTACATAAAACTTTCTGAGGGACCACTCGGAGATGAGGGGATCGGGATGATCGTGACCTGAGCTGCGTGGTCTGTCAGCATAAAATCCGAAGGATGGAGAAGCAGAGTAGTGGGCTGGACCTGGCATTTGCTGCCATTAATGATGTGGTGGAGTTCAGCAGACAGTGATGTGATTTTATGTGTAAGAATTTATGTGGTAGGCAGGGCATGTGTACAGAGGCTTAGGAAGTGTGTGCAATTTTAATCACACAAGGACAGTATGTATGATATGATGTGAAGAAGGGGAAGGATCATTATGACTGTCCAGTGGAGGAGATGCTTTTTCTTCCAAAGAGCCAGCATCTCCTCCAGGTAGCAGCCCATAAAAAAAAAAGTAAATCATCCACTGTCAGTAAATAGTATTCTAAGTGGTCTCACGATAAATTCAGATTTTAACATAACTAGTAATTTTGATGGCTAGCCATATGTTCCAGTGTCATAGCTTGATATTGAAAAAAAATTGAATTTAAAGCCTAATTCCAACTTCTGGAATGTATATAAATATAATTTACCTGCTCATATGTTTTTCTGTAATATTAATTAGGGGAGTTAACAAAAGCGACTTCTAGCTAAAGTGTAGATGCAGTTGCTAAGTATTCGTATAAATATACCTACCCTGTGATGTTGGTAAGTAAAAGTTAATCATGTGAAATTAAGCTAGAAACTATCAACAAAACAACAACCATGTTGTCTTAACTGAAAGCAAATCTCTTTGTTTCAGATTTTCTTCCCTTTGTATGTGATGGCTGTTCAGGCATCTTTTGGTAAGTTCATAGAATCACAGAGCACCGCAAGTTGAAAGGGTCCCACAAGAGTCAACAAATCCCACTCCCTACTCCTCACAGGACTAAAACTAAAGCATACAGACAATCCTTGAACTCCAGCAGGCTTGGTATCATGACCACTTCCTTAGGGAGCCCATTCCAGTGCCCAACCACCCTCTCTAAGAACCTTTTCCTAATGTTCAACCTGAACTTCCCATGACACAGCTTCTTTCCATTTCCTCATGTTGTACGCTTGGTCGCCAGGATTTCCTCATCCCAGGTGAAGAATCCTGTACTTGCTCTCATTAAATTTTATACAGTTGGGGAATGCCCAGCTCACTAGTCTATCCAGAATCTCTCTGTGTGACTTCTCCACCCTTAAGGGAATTGACAGCTTTTCCTGGTTTAGAATGATTGGCACCCATAACATGTATCCAGATAATTTATACAAATACTAAAGAGCACTGGCACTAAAATTGAGCCCTGGGAACTCCACTGTCCACCAGACTGAAGCAATTGCATTAACTGTGAGTCTCTGAGGCCAAACCATCAGCCATTTGCTCACCCATACATACTTGTCTAGCTGTGTGCTGGACATTTTTGTCCAGAAGAACACTCTGAGAGGCAGTGTCAAAAGCTTTGCTAAAATACAAATCACCACATCTGCTGGCTTCCCAGTGTCAACTAAATGTGCAGCCTTGTCACAAAAGGAGGCGGGTGATTATGTTTTCTTCTTGAAAAAATTGTAAGGTTTCTTGAAAGGTTGAAATCAGGGCTTGCACTTTCATTTACACTTCAGATTAGCAGAGGGCAGCTGAGAGAAACTCAGAGATTTGGGGCAGATTTCACTTCTAACAAATCAGAAGCCTTCAAGGGATTTCTGCCATTATGAAAGAAATTTGAAAATCCATTAAAACAGACAAGTTCTTGTTGCTTTGAACTGAACTCTTAAGCATGCTAATGTCTTCATTCTCTTGAAATGGTTTATCTTGAAGCATAAGTTCCAAAATGTTTTACATTCTGAAAGAATGTAATGAAAGAATATGATCTATCCATTCAAGAAGTTAAATGCATAGGATAGAACAAATTTTGGAGAAGATTCATTACCTAACTGAAGTTTTTCCATTATGAAACTTGTCAGATTACGCTTTAAACACTTAAATGTTTTCACATGCAAGTTTTTTTTCCTGGAACGTTGGTAACAGTGTGATATTTTCTTCTTTTTCCACAAAGCCTTCAGCACAGGAGCCGGGATGCTCATGGGTGTTCTGAGGTAATCTAATAATATATGACAGCCTTAAATTAAAATTCCATGCAACTTAGCTGTGTGTTTTCAGACTAGATGAAGCATATGGTATATAAGTATGAATTATTTAACTGAGAATGTGAAAGGCTTAAAAAAATGGATCTACTCTTTTTCTTCCCCTCAGAAGTAAATTGACTTTGAGTAGGATGACGGTTCTTTTTCAACCTCTGAGCTAAAGATAACCAGGGCAAAAGTAGGAGAGAATAGCTGGACCAGGGCTGCCCATAGAATGGAGAGCTAGCACAGATCTTTGAGATCTGGGTTGGTAACTTATATCTGTAGTATCTGTTTATTTACACAAAATACTTTGTACTTACTCGTAGGTGAATATAAGAAGCAATTCTCTGAAACCTGATCAGCACAGATCTTACCCATGCTCATACAAGGACTGCAATGGAAAGGAGCTTTTGCCAGTGTTATGTCCTTACTGTGAAAAACATTTTTGTCTCAGGTGAGCAGAACAGAGTGTTTAAACATCAATATTCATTTAATAATGTATGGAAAACACAATAGAAGTTTTACTTTGTTGTTTATAGACATCGTCATCAATCAGACCATGAATGTGAGAAGCTGGACACACCAAAACCTCGAATGGCTGCCACCCAGCAGCTTGTTCAACATATTATAGGCAAGTACAGAGGCATATATATTCTTTTTCTTATATTTTTTTCAGGATACTGTTTGAGTTTCTGACCTCCTTTGAGTGGTCAGGTTTGACCAAATAAGAAGAAAGGATGGGAGTTCCTTGGTTAAATAGCCCTAAACTTACATGTCATCATTTAATACTGTTCATCTAAACTGAGCCAAAACAACAGTACCAGGAGCATCTAAAGAATAAATAAGGCACAGGTTTCTTTCAGAATTATTGTCTTGTTGCCATTCTACAAGTACTATACTATAATGAATTGTACCTAGCCATTATTACTTATGTATTAATCCATGTGCAAATAATGCAGTTGTGTTGGATGAGCATGTCAATCTGCTGGGATCACACCTAGATAATCAAGGTGCCCAGAAAAGTCTGGTTCTACCATGTAATGTTTTGCAGGTGTTAAACAATCTCTAGGATGGGCAAGACAATAAACATCACTGCCCAGCTGGACAGTGGGGTTATGTGTAGAAAGGGGGACCTGAAATGTTGCCATATGAATGCTGTGGTAGCCACAGATGTAGAAGATCCAGAATTTGTATCTATTTGGCTTTTGCAGCCTGTGTTTACATGGTGATAGTGTTCATCTACCTTTCAATGGAAAGGAATTCTGCTAGAACTAAAAATGCTGATACATGACTTTGGGAAAACATGAACAGAC